TTCCTTACTTATAGCAGAAGGGGTTCAACTGAGAGATCTTTGTACCTGTGCTTGTCTATTAATTACTAACATAGTTGAAAACTTTCTCATATATGCTAGTTCTATGGTGATGGGACTGTCATCCTTTATTGAATATCATTACTATATTGAAAGTGTCTGTTATCTGTAACCTTATTTCCCTCAGATGCTATTTAATTCACCTTTCCACACCCCTCAACATACATGTATACAATTATGTGTGAATACATATATATATATATTCATATATATGTGTGTATATACATATACACACATTAACATATAGCACAGGGGTGAAATATCAAACATCCTGAGCTCTGGAGTCCTGCTCAGGTTTGATCTCACATCTGTCATTTATTAGCAGGTGATAGCAAGGAAGTTGCTAAATATCTCAGTGCCTCAACTTACAACTATAAAATCAGGATAATTACTGATCTCCTTAGGTTGTAGTAAAAGCTAAACGAAATAATGTGCTTAGAACAGTGACTGATATGTAGTCAATAAATTTTCTGATTATTATCTTACACTTGAAAGGCACTGAGAATTGTTTGAATCAAAATTCAGTTTTCTATATTAAAAGATGTAATTCTAAATCCATTCTTTTGTTACCTTAGGGAATCAGCTATACCAGGAGAACCTAGCTGATGAAGACATTTGACATTTGATTTATTTGATTTATGGCACTTGTACTTTTGCCCTCCAGGTCAGGTTTATTTGCATGATCAAAATTGAATCTCTCCTTACGCTAATGGAGGAAAGAATTATAGGTGAGGTTTTTGTAATTTTTAATAGAGCAAAATAAGTATATTTTTTCTTGTAGTAAGTATTTATGAAAACGCTATATGGGAGGAGCATTATGGGTGAAAGAGTCGGTGTTGGTAAGATGAGCGAGTGGGGGGAAAATAGACATATTAAAATGTGGATAGCTCAGTTGTGAAAGCCAATGGATAGAGCTTATGCAAACATTGCAGCTCCACCAAAAACCCTGACAGACTCAACTTTTCTTACACTCCCTGCAAATTGATCCAGTAACGTGAAGTTAATAGATTAAACATCTAAATCCCAGTGCATATGCATTACAGGCATTGGAATCCTACATGATACAACTCACATCACATGGAGTAAAGAGAAACTTCTCAAAACCTAAAGAAATTCTCTGTAAAATATGTTATCACTCTAGGTCGATTAATGCTACTACACCAGCTTATAAATTTGGGGAACTGCCTAGAACTGTCAACATTCCTAGCATGCCCTTGGGCAGCAATAAACAATTTAAGAGGAGAAGGAGAAAGTCAGTGAACTCAAGTGGGAAGAGAAATTTTTTGCTGAAGCTGTCTAAATCACGGCTATCACCTGAGTCGGTAAGAATGGCTATTGCTCTGGAAGTCTCCCGTGGGCTGCCATTGCTGTGCTCATGTGCTGGAGACGGCAGACTGAGTTCTGATGGGAGCAAGCACTTGCAGCCTGGACGCTGAGTCAATTATTCTAACACTAGTCTAATGTCTCATCGCCCTGAACTAGGCTGGGATTTCATATATCATCCTCAGCAAGACACATGTTCATCTCCACCCTTCAAGGAAAGAAATTTCTATAATTTTCACTTTCTCGTGGACATGGAAAACTCTTCAGTTATTTCCATAATGCCAACCTCACTACAAACATAGTTTTGTTTTCCCCACTCCAATCTATGGACATTCAAATATATACCAAATACATGGGTATATTCCATTTAGGAGTCAAATTCTGAACTTCATCTCAGATGACTTATGTAAATACAAGTCATAGACTGGCCATCAATCTGAATGATGTTCTCATCCTGTGCTAGTAAACATATTTATTGGATTTTAGAAGAATTTTAGCATGATTAACAACTGTGGGAATTTTTGTTCATTAGCATAATGGAGTGTTATTGATCTTTTGATAAGAATAGCATTTGTATTACTTGCTATCATTGCTTCTTTTAAAAAAAAATAGGTCTGGTATTAAAACAAGTGAAGTGACAGTGCATCATCAAGAAAGTTAAGAAATGACATATTGTAAAATATATAAGCAAATGCAAATTGTGTAGCTCTAAAAAGTAGTCTTTAAATGTATCTATCCGAAATCACAAAATACTCTTCATTATAATAAGTAGCATTTTCATTTTCAGGGGGAAAGAGTGAAAACCATCTTGGGCATTCACCATGTGCCAGGTGTCCTTTACATTTATATTGTTTAAGCTTCACAACAAAACTATTAAGCAGACATTAGCAGAAAGGATGTGAGTCCAGAGAAGGGAGGGAGGTGACGTGCGATTCCACAGCAGGGGAAAACCTCCCACCTATCTATCTGACTAGCTCCAGACCCTGCGTTCTTTCCAAGTGGAAAGGAACCAAGTGAAACTTAACCCACATCTGGCATTCTATACTTCATCCCTTCTTTAAGTTTCCCCTTTTCTCCCAGCTGAGATCCCCATTGCCTGTTTTCCCAGGGACCTATCAGAAAAGTGCAAAGGGACCTGGGCACGTTGGCAGCAGAGAGATGCTGAAGCAAGAGAATTTGCGGGCCATCTCAAATCACACCAAATAGTTACCTCCTCGGTCTACAAGGAAAGTCAGCCTTTCCAACACTGGAACAGTTGAGATTTTGAAACAAAGTGAACCACAGATAAATGTAAAGGAAAAAGAACTGATCTTCATAAACTTTCTGCAAACTGGCAATGCATAATTCAGCTATATAATGCCAACTGCTAATGGAGAGTTATTACTACTGTTGGAGCAGTATCTGCCTTGATGACTAAGCCTTCTTGGGTATGTAGAGGCTGAGAAAAAGCAGAAGACATCATAATCCAGGGTAATGGTGAAGATAACCAAAATAGGACAACAAAACTCAAGTCCTACACACTTACATTCCATCAGCCATGATATCCAACCAGTTTCAGACCTCTATGGACCACACAATGACTGAGACAGGTAGCTTCAGTGGCTATCTATTCTTTTTTTTTTTTTTACTTATTTAACACTTCTAAATAACAATCATTATCAAATTGCTCTGTGTGCATCTAGGACACTCCAAAATCAAAAAACAAAAAACCAAACAAACAAACAAAAAAAAAAAACCCAAGAAGAATTAAATAGTAAAGTATCATTCAGAAAATAATGAGTTCAAGGTTTAGGTTTACTAACACCATGGATCACCTGTTGAGTTCTTGAGACAAAAGATAACTTTAAGTATAATGTTTTAGACTATTTTAAGTTATTAAAAACTTTATATAAAAAAATTTTAACATTGATCATTACGAACAATAGAAAATATCTCTATTTACAAATATGCTTATGCCAGAAAATGGAAACTAAAAATGTTAAATTATCAGCAAATAAATGTAACAGAATGTGGAAATCAGAAAGATAAGTGATCTGTAACAGTAAGCGGGTCTAATGCTCCAAGGACGTTTTTCATTCTCAATATACACTTGTTCCTGCTTAGTTAGAATCTCAACCTGCTTTCTGGTTGTAACAAAAACTATTCAATTAAAACATAGAATTTGTCCAAAAATCAGAATGTGAAAATTTAAATCACAACAACATCTGCTATTTTTCACCCCAGGTCTCTCCCACAGCTACGACTGGCATACTGTAAGTTTCTAGCACCCTCATGTGGTTTAATTGGAGTGGTTTCATAGGCATTTGAAATCAGTTGTCTGAAACTGGTAACAGTAGAACAGACTATAATTCAACACGGAAGTTCTGTTGGCCTCATAAACCAAGAAAAAGAAAGCTCCAGTCAGCAAAATTCTAAGATGAATGTACAGGCTCAATTCTTAACGTATTTGCTGTCTAGGGTTCATTTTATGTGATCACTAGAAAAGATGACTTTTAAGCAACCTCAGCTAGTTTCATTTTTGGCAGATTGGAATCCCCCACTTTCAAAACCAAGCATTTGTTGTGGGCAACTGTTCAACTGATGAAAAAAAACCTTATTTTGCTCAAAAAGAAAAGCAAGTGTTATTATTGCCCAGTTTGTGTGGGCATCTTGATTAGGTAAACACAGTAACCCAAATTATACGTCACAGATGTAGGCTTTGAGAACTTCCACTGTCTTCAACAACATTTTAAGTGATTAATATTTTTACATTTCCTCTAATCATTTGAGAATAATTTACACAAACAAAACATTTCCTTCTCTCTAAACATATGCCTAGGCTTGTAGGTGAGACTTCTTTCAAATAATTGTGTATTTCCCAACCCTCTTAAAAGGGGAGAAGCTAAAGAGGATTATACTCTCTCCTCTAGATTGGTAATAAATGTTCCTCTTATCAAAGATCCATGTTTAAAACCTATCTGTGATTTCATAAGCCTGAGGTGACCCAACAAATGGTCTTGTCATGAAAAATAAAGAAGTAGATTTTAAAGCACTGACATTATCAGAATATTCTGAACATGAAATGAAATTTTAAAAATAATTGGCCTTGAAGGGGATAAAAATGTAAATTAGTGAGAGGTAAAGAATCTATTAACAGAACTTGAATGTGGCTTATTCGTATGCTGAACTGGAAGTCCCAATGTTAAAAATATCAGTAGAATGCAAGAGGAATACATTAGCTCATCAATATACAGCAATATGTAAGTTGATTTTAAAAGAAAGAAACCGACTTCAGAACTTAGAAATATTATAGAAAATAAGAATATCATTCGTTTAATTATTGACTGATAACGTTTTGATCTAGGTAATTTTGGGTAAGTTAAACAGCACCTGAATTCATAGATGTACACCAATTTTTTAACTTCAAAAGACCTGATAAAAATATCACTAAGTTTGATGGCAATGGAAGGGGTGCAAAACAGTTAAAAATATCAAGAGATACCTTTCAAAAGGTAAACATCTAAAACTGCCATTTCTTGTGGCCATCACTACTGCTTACCAGCCTTGGCACTATTTACTTCATTGAAGCAGAATTTTGGCCAAGTGCTTAAGGGTAAGAGGAAGACAAAAGCTGCACAGAAGATATCTGGAGTGAATCAGAGCAACACTGCCTTACCTGTTGAGCCCTTTCAGGGTCTTTTCCATGTTTAAAATGTCACGCATCTTATACAAAAACCACTTGTCAATGGATGTGAGCTTCATAATCTCATCAAGGGACATGTTGTCTTCCAAGGCCTGCCAAAAGGAGAAGAGACACTTTCTTTGACAAATATTTTATAAATGTCTTATTTGGTTGAAAACATATAGCAGCCATTCCTCTCTACGTTATTCAGAGAGCTTGAGGCTATAGACTGAGAATGGAACTGATATAATATCATTGATGTTCCTCCCAATAAACCTACCAACGCTGCCAACTATACCCACAAATGGCATACCAAGGAGGTGTCTTTTTTATTATTATTATTATTTGTTTATTTGACAGAGAGAGACACAGCGAGAGAGGGAACGCTAGCAGGGGGAGTGGGAGAGGGAGAAGCAAGCTTCCCGTGGAGCAGGGAGCCCGAAGCGGGGCTCGATCCCAGGACGCTGGGATCATGACCTGAGCCGAAGGCAGAGCCCAAGGCAGATGCTTAACGACTGAGCCACCCAGGTGCCCCCTCAAGGAGGTGTCTTGAGTTAATCAGAGCAGTGTGTGCTCAGAAAAATCCCCCTAATAAGCTCTGCTTCCCTGCTTTCTATATAACCATGTTGCTAATTATATCCTAAATTTGGTACATCTCTTTGGAATTAAAGAGAATCTCTTGAAACTACAGTTAAGCCAAATTGGTAGGAACATCTAGAATCAATATGATGATCATTTAACTTGTATTTTGGATAATTACCCTTTGGCAAATACCATAGTTTTTTTACCTCATTCCACACTCACACAAACCAGTCAGTGAAAATTTATGGATCAAATCTGACTTAGTGTTATTTCTTTAGAATATTTCCTCAGAGAAGACTTCAAACAAAAAAATTATTTTGAATCAGTTACTATGACTTTTGTGCTAAGAAAGGCATTTACAAAATCCTAATATATTCCAAAACAGTGTAGTAATAACTTCTGTTCTGATAGGCAGCTCAGCTCTTTCCTAAAGCTTACTTTAGCAATTTCTCAGAAGTAAAATTACAACTATGGGTCATTAAGCTGAGTAGAAAAGGCAACAGAAAGAAGAGAGAAACGCTCAAAACCCAAACCTTGATATTCAAAAGATGTCCACTCTTCTCCTGTACTATTTTTAAGTATATGTTTATACTCAATGAAGATTAATAATCAGATAATACTCCAAAACCACATATTCTAGAAATGGCACACTATATTTTTAAATCCCATTAAGAAATATATGTAACTAGTAATTCTGCTATTATATTTCAACCCAAGGAGCTTAATTTTCTTTAAATCTTCACTGATTTCTAGCACCAGGGAGACAATGAGAGACAGCACAGCTCATAATTCTGTTGACTAGCATTAGATGACACCTAATGGAAATACTCAAAGGCGTGCTCATTTCATAAGTCTATTCTGTTTCTTTTGTTTAATTCTCCTTATATAGAGCCAGGTTCCCAAGGACTTAGTATTCTGTCTCATTTTCCAAGTGATTAAATACTCAATTAGCCGTTGGCCATCAGCACTATGAGGGGGATAGAACCTTAAGTTAGTGACACTTTTGACAGACCAGAGGAAGTCTTCACATGATCACACACTCTTGACCCCACGGTTGTCAGAGAGCCTAAACTCCTGGATTCATTTCACTAGGAGGAAGGACAATTACAGTCCCACCCACGGTGTCTAACCGAAAGCCAAATCCTCCCCGTCTTATGACCTCATCTTCAAGCACGGCAGCTTTGCCGTGTCACACAGTTATAACGAAGTTCATAATGACCCCAAACAAGTTCAAGGTTACTCTAATGTTTCCCAAATCAAAAATAATGCCCTGTATTCTCCCCAGATCAAAAGAGGTGATGATCCAGTCATCCTGAAATAAGACTGCAGCAAAAATCAGGCCTCAGAGCAACTTGCCCTTTTGTAAGGACCATGAAAGCGAGCGAAGATTTACTCACGCCTTTCATTTTTTCCCCTTCAGCCCTCCACGGTCCTCACTCTCTTTGTCAAAATCACCAGGTTCCTAGTTGCTGGGGCAATGAACAGTAATGACGACCTCTAACAAACAGACATCAGTTCCTTCTGCCGGCACTCTGGCAGACAATAATTTATACGTCAGACCCTGCACTGTTTGCTCATACATAGGGGGCTCTGTGTGAGAAAGGACCTCCACACGTTTCCTCTGAATTCTCATCCTTTATAAGTCTGTTAGAAAAGAATGAGAGATTTGCTCGAGCTGTATATCCTCCCCAGGGACTTGGAAATACTTCCCTTTTTCATCCACCTCAAAATGGCAGAAGTAGGATTACTTCTGTAAATCCATTTACTGCCTTTTGTCTGGAAAGAAAACATCATATGTATATCTACACATAAGAATATGGTAGAATGCTTTTTTAAAACAAAAGACTGAAATAAGAACAATAAAGAAGGTGAAATGGCTCTCTGGAATAACCTCTCATCACTACTATCACCCACCCCCCCACTGAAAATGTTAATTCTCTATTACCTTGAAACTCAATATTGAGAAATGTCCATCAAAAGACACTAACATCTGCCAGAATTTCAATGGAACTTAATATTCTGCATTTAGAAACCATAAAGGTGAGGAGGGTATACATTATATGCAATGAAGGAAACATTCCCTCCGCTTTTCCCTCTCAGCAGGACTCTCAGTACATGGACGGGAAAGTTGCAGTGAGTTCAAAATCACTCACAGCATTTTTCTGTTGCTACAAAGGCAAATTACAAAGACAGATTTCCTCTTTAAAGACAAAATTCATATTTTCATCAACTCATCCCACATGCACACATGCACATATGAAATGGTCAGCGGGGCTTTGTAGCTCCAGTGTGGTTTGATACTGTTGGAGGATTAATGCCTAAGCTTCCTTAAATGTCAAAAAGCCATTCAGGGATTTCTGACCAGACAGGTCCCAGCTGCCCAAGTCACCTTTTATAAAATCAGATGAGCTGAAAATTCAAAACCCTACACATAGTAAACATGAAAGGAGATTAATATGGCATTTAATTTGCATAAAAGGGAACTAGGGGGTGGAAGTGAGAAATGTGGGGCTTTTTTGTTCTAAAAGTAAGACCAATAAAATAATTACACAGAAAAGCCTATAATCGTGGAAGATCTTTATAGTCATTGTTGTTTAAACACAGAAAAAGAAGCAAATAAAGATTATTCTAAAGTCTGAGGGAGCATATACTAAATGATACTATTTTATGCATCTTCCTTTCTAAAATATGATTTTATACATTTTCAAGGAACGAGTAATGAGAGGGACAGGAAATGGCAGGTCAATATGATCAAACCTACTTAAGAGTATCGATAAGATATATATATATAAGGAAGGAACATTTTATCTGTATGATCATCCTTTAAACCTGCAATGTGTCCTTCAGTCCAAGCTCAAATAAAATTTTTAAAAAGGGGGTAATATTTCATCAATTATAGAATAATCTGAAAAAAGCCACAGAAGTCTCTAGTATAATACTACTGAAGAAAATTAAATTTTTTCCCCAAATCCCTGAATTCACAACCATTTTGTGTTTCAGTTTTACTTTAAAGTCCAGGTTGGCAGGGTGCCTGGGTGGCTCAGTTGGTTAAGCATCTGCCTTCAGCTCAGGTCATGTTCCAAGAGTCCTGGGACCTAGCCCCACGTCGGGCTCCCTGCTCTGCGGGGAGCCTGCTTCTCCCTCTCCTCCCTGCTCATGCTCTCTCTTGCTATCTCTATCTCTCTCTCTCAAATAAATAAATAAAATCTTTTTAAAAAATAAATAAATAAAGTCCAGGGTGGCTATATTCTGAAGAAAATAGTCACTCAGGGCCCCTTATCACATATTACCTTGGCAATGGCATAGATACGGGTGCTGGATGGTTCAGCCAGCTCTCTTCTGAGATCTATGTTGGATGGCCATTCTTTGTTCATAGGGAGACGGGAAGTGAAACCATCTATAGACGGGTGGCACATTCGTAAGGCCTTCTGGAAACTCTCCTCAAAGGTGCGACCAATAGCCATGACCTGTAATGCACATTTAAGAACTTGTATTTTTAAAAAAGAGCTTATATATATTGAATTTGAAACAGAACTAGAAATGGAATGTTTTTTAGAAAAGACGTTGGAACAAAACATATAAGAATACTACCCAAATTTAGGTGTTGTTATTGTTATTTTTCTTTCTCTCTCCTTTTCGCCATGGTTTTGATATAATGGGTCTTTAACAATATTAGGTCAGTTTTTTACCACACCAGGAATTTAGCTTTATTTGTTGAGACTGATGAGGAAATTACCTGCAACTGCTCTGAACAATAATATTAAACTAAGGAATAGGTGGAAAGAGCATATAGACCCTTCCTTAATAAAATCTTGCTTTTACGCAGATGTTATTTAGAATAAAAAACAAATGAAGAGAAGCCAGACATATATTAACACAAAAACAGAACTATTTCTAAATGGGTTATCAGTCACAATCCAAGACAGGTTGGCTTTCTTTATAACGAAGCATTAATATTAATAAAACCTTCAGAATCATAACGAATACTGACAGATTCAGATTTTGAATGTAGGTGGATCTAAATTCCCCATGACAAATTCGATGTGTCTTCCCACAATCTTTACAGCTGATTGTTCACTAATCATTTAGGAAGACCATGTAGTGATTTCATTTGGACAAGATACAAGTCAGAACTAAACTTAAATCGCCTTCAAGCCTAACCAGTTATTTTCAGTGGATAAACACTGTCTTTGAATCTTTCCACGGAATCATAGATTGCTATGCATTTTGGGTCTCCAATTTAAAATAATAACAGTGATAATGCTGCCTTCAGTAAACTTCTGTGATTCCTCAAATAGACCCAGATTCCCATTCATGTCAGTTTGGTAAACCTTCATGCCAATTGTGTGACAAGATACATATTCAAAGATCACTAAAGCCAAACAGATAACCTTTCACGCTGCCCCCAATTTAATTAGAAGTAAGGAAGATTCTCAAGAGCAGAGATGAATAAAATGTTAGTCCAATTCAGATATGTATAATGATATTTGAAGGGTTACACAATATGGTCATAGACTTGCTAGCCTAAGTGTGAAAGAGACTGCCAGAAATGAAAGATTTTATGGTGCTATCAAATTAGGAAAATATTTCTGGAATATTTAATACAACTTATAAGTATTACATACTTAAAAGTTGGCAATAAAGTAACTGGTTCTATAAGTAACTCACCATAAATTATTATTTGTAAGTACACTGTACATAACGGTATATGGAATATGTTCAATAAAAGAAAAACAAACCTACCTATATAATAATAAAGGAGTACATAACTGTGTTTGCTCAAAATTTGTGCTTTTTAATATTTTATATGATTAATATTCACCTTCATTAAGCGAAAATTTCACCATTTTTCAATGGACTGACAGACAGGACCCTAGCCCTATTCCCTGACCCTATTCTTCTCCATTCTCAAAGCACCTGTATGTAAACACTGTATCTTAACTTTCACCACAGTTGAATTCATATTACGTTTAGTTCTATTTCTGTATTCTCAACTTACCAACTGCAGATAACATGTAACAAATATCTACATCTTATTCACTGCATCTTGCATGGAGTAAAACCTAGGGAAATGCTTCCTAACTTGAGTTGAACTAAATGTATGATGGGAAATATCCACTGACAATAAACGACCCTTAGATTATAAGCCCTAAATGAAGACATTACAGAAATTATCTCATCTTCTTTGGGCTATAAATTTTACTGTGAGCAATGTGAAAAGGGATACTTCCCATAAAATAAACTAAATAACAGCTGTTTATTTGACAGGAGAGCTACCAACAAAACTTTCCATGGCATTTGAGTTTTAATTCTATTGTGCACCGTGAAGCATGAGAGAAAAAATAAGATTTAAAGCAGCTATGAAGGACTACCAGTTTTTTGTTTCTTTTTTTACAACTAGTAGGACATTTTAATTTAAAAGGTCAAGTTTTCCTTATCTGTCATTACTTTAAAATCTTGCATTAGTATCTTGGAAACTAAGGAAACCAAAATAGTAATAATTCTCCCTTTCATGCATGAATCTGATTGATCAGTAAAATGTCTTTTCTTTTTTTTTTCTTTTCTCCTGCATTGCTGATGGATTTAAGCTGAACTTCCTGTGATTGGTGGTATGCATTTCTGCAACGGCTAGTCAGAGGATAGCTATAATCTGTAACACAGGATAAATAAAGGCCAACATAGAACAATATGTCATAAACAGTTCTTTGCCCTGTAATCTAACCAGCTTAGATATCTAGGCATAGACCAAGAGCTCCTACATTGGCCATATAGAGACAGAGGTGAGATAAAATAAATAGATAAATGATACATCAATAGATCGGTAGAGATTGAGATTCATGCATACTGCTGGTAATCAAAAATTCTACCCGTAAACAATGACAACAATACTGATGAAACACACTTATTTGAGATTCATTATGAATCTACCTTAAAAGACATTACTAAAGATTTACATGTATTAATCCTAAATCTTATAAGAACCTCCCAAGGTAGGTATTATCATCTCCAATTTTCAGATGGAAAACCTGAGGGCCAGTGTCTTGCATGAGTGTCTCTAACTAGTAAGTGGCAACTCGAAGAGTAAAACCCAAGCTCATTTGGTTCAAAGACTCATGCTCTCTCCACTTATGCCAAGCCAACTGGATGCAAGAAGAAATAAACCCCTGGGTGGGGGAAGGAAGAGAGTGACAGTCAGAGGCAGGGGTCTGAATTCCTTTCTTTCCTCCTGTACAGAGGAGCACTGTATCTTTGAAGATGGAATAATCAAAAGCTAATTTTAATTTCAAATAATATAAAAAGGGACATTATGAAAAATCTAAAGGTCCTAAAAGCTTAGACCATTTCAATATAATGAAAGAGGACTTCATATCCCATTGTGCTCTCCTCAATTTTAAACGTTGCTGCTAGATGGGACATGAGAGATCTTCTAGTCCAGCCCTTTTCTTTTAGACATGTAGAAAGTGAGGTCCAAGGAGGGTAAAGCCATAATTTGTGTGAATAGATTAAAATTAAATTCTTAACCTCAGCGCAATGGTCTTTTTGGTATACCATTTTATATCATGTTATTTTCTAGGTCTGTTTATAAAACACATTATAACTCAGTTGTTTATGAAAATATGTTTTTCATATGTGCAAATATATTATACATCCACATATACAGGCTCTCCTTTCAATTAGAAGCTTTTAAGATCCATTAAGGGGAAATGTAACAAATACCTTATGATAATACTCAGAGAGATGTTGAAACACCATGGAGGAAATGAAATTCCCATATATCCTCCAATCAAGAACCCAGTATCCAGGCAACCTGAATACTTCTAAGGATGTTAAGGATTTGACAAAATAGCTGAGAACAAGAATAAATAGAGGAATAAACCATGGACTCACCTCTCCCACACTTTTCATAGAGCTACCAATTCGGCTAGACGTTCCATGAAAACGATCAAGATCCCAGCGAGGAATCTTGGTAACCATGTAATCTAGGCTAGGTTCAAAGCAGGCTGATGTTTTCCCCGATACAACATTCTTGATTTCTGGAAGCGGAATTCCTAGGGCAATCTTTGCAGCAATGAATGCCAGTGGGTAGCTATAAAAGAGGAGATTTTTTTTTTTTCTTTCAGCAATGAGCATTAAAAACAGCCCAAAACATAAATTGGTCTTTCTTAGAAATTCTAGTATTATTCCACATCAGGGTATAAAACACATCTGGTTCTCTGTTCTGTATGGAGATTTAATAGCCGCTTATAAAATAATGTGAGTCATGATAAAGTAGAGAGACACGGATCACGAAAGAATTCACTCTCTATGCCTGACATTCAATGCAACAACTGCCAACCTTCACCTCTTTAATCCAAAATCAATGACTTCCTTGATAAGGTGCTCACTTTTCTAGAGCCTCCACTAAGATAAGAATCTGCAAAATATTCTTTTGAAAAGATATATTGATGTCTGCACCTAGAAAGACAGTGGAGTTAGCTGGCATTGTGGGGTATTCAACGGTCAGAAAATGTAGTCATTGCAAGCTTGGGTCCTTGCTTTGTCTCCAAATTATTTTTGAACTTGGGACTCCTTACAAAACTAACATTCTAGGAACTTAACTGGATAGTTTGGGTAATTATATTTGAGAATATAATTCACAGAACTGTAGAATTACATATGATTCTTTTAATACATCTCCCTCATCTGACAGATGAGGAAACTGATAGGGACAATAAGTGATGTGTCCAAAGTCAATAGGAGAATTGGAAGGAGAATTCAGGTCTCCTGACTCTTGCTTAGGGCAACACCTCCCTGCCACTCCATACAGCACTGCGGAGCCATATTAAGCAAAAAAACTTTACAGGTAATTGTTTAGTTCACTTAAATGCCATGTAGTTTAAATGCCATATGCTAAGTATATTAATAGAAAAATGTACTAATGTTCCCTCGATTTATGCTCGCCGGCAGTTTTTAAATGGGTAGCAAATTCACTTATTTGGTTGCAATATTTATCTATAGAAAAATCCTACAGTGTTTGGTCCTGTAGAGTTTTGCTAAAACAAAATAATTTATTGAATGCTTGAATCAAGTAAACTATACTATTTGCCTACCATTTACTATATACCTGAAGAAACCAGCTGAGGACTAAAGTTGAGAATTAATTTTCACTTTTTAACAATATCTGCAAAGTGCAATTAGGAAGCAGATTTTTTGCAGCCTGCTTTGACCACCCAGATTTTGATTAGTTTATGATTAGCCAGCAAACAAAGCCAGCGAGCAATATCATTTGCTTCAATCTGGAGGCAAGCTCATTAACAACCATGTCCTCAGGGTCCTAAATGATTTGCAGCCAGCATACAGAAATGGGGACTATAGCTTGTAAATGCAGCCCAGTCTTCCACTAGCTGTCAGTTTTCCAAAACTATCTGCGAAGAATCTGCAAACACATGGTCAATCACTCTGATCTTACCCAGTGGCCTTTGAGGCCAGGGCGGAGCTTCGGGACAATCTGGCATTCACTTCAATGATGCAGTATTCCATTGAGGTAGGATGAAGGGCAAATTGAATGTTGCATTCACCCACAATGCCCAGGTGGCGAACAACATTGATGGAAGTACGTCTCAACATCTGAAACTCCTCATTGGAGAGGGTCTGGGCAGGGGCCACGACAACTGAATCACCTGTACATCCAAGCAACACTTGTTATTTGGCAGCATATCTAAATAACTAACTTTAGTAACTTAATCTATTTGTGTGATACAAGACACAGATTAGTCTAAGGGTTTGTTGGGAAAATAACTGTCTCAAAGCGATACATATAAGGCACATCAGATACCCTTCCCTCTGATTCTTGTTTTGCCTGTATTACTCTGACACATTATTGACAGAAACCGCTCTAACCTTTCCCAAGGTCATCTAGCTACCAAGGCCTCGGTCATCTACAATTTTAGAAATCTGCAATTT